GCCTGTATTTACAAGAAAGTGAGTGGGAGCTCTGTAGCATTTTGATATTATATGTGGATGACATATTACTAATTGGAAATGATATAGAATTTCTGGATAGCATAAAGGGATACTTGAATAAGAGTTTTTCAATGAAAGACCTCGGTGAAGCTGCTTACATATTAGGCATTAAGATCTATAGAGATAGATCAAGACGCTTAATTGGACTTTCACAGAGCACATACCTTGACAAAGTTTGGAAGAAATTCGAAATGGATCAAGCAAAGAAAGGGTTCTTGCCTGTGTTACAAGGTGTGAAGTTGAGTAAGACTCAATGCCCGACCACTGCAGAAGATAGAGAGAAAATGAAAGATGTTCCCTATGCTTCAGCCATAGGCTCTATCATGTATGCAATGTTGTGTACCAGACCTGATGTGTGCCTTGCTATAAGTCTAGGAGGGAGGTACCAAAGTGATCCAGGAGTGGATCACTGGACAGCGGTCAAGAACATCCTGAAATACCTGAAAAGGACTAAGGATATGTTTCTCATATATGGAGGTGACAAAGAGCTCATCGTAAAAGGTTACGTTGATGCAAGCTTTGACACTGATCCAGACAATTCTAAATCGCAAACCGAATACGTGTTTACAATAAACGGTGGAGCTGTCAGTTGGTGCAGTTCTAAACAAAGCGTTGTAGCGGGATCTACATGTGAAGCAGAGTACATAGCTGCTTCGGAAGCAGCAAATGAAGGAGTCTGGATGAAGGAGTTCATATCCGATCTAGGTGTCATACCTAGTGCATCGGGTCCAATGAAAATCTTTTGTGACAATACTGGTGCAATTGCCTTGGCAAAGGAATCCAGATTTCACAAAAGAACCAAGCACATCAAGAGACGCTTCAATTCCATCCGGGATCTAGTCCAGGTGGGAGACATAGAGATTTGCAAGATACATACGGATCTGAATGTTGCAGACCCGTTGACTAAGCCTCTTCCACGAGCAAAACATGATCAGCACCAAGGCTCCATGGGTGTTAGAATCATTACTGTGTAATCTAGATTATTGACTCTAGTGCAAGTGGGAGACTGAAGGAAATATGCCCTAGAGGCAATAATAAAGTTACTATTTATTTCCTTATATCATGATAAATGTTTATTATTCATGCTAGAATTGTATTAACCAGAAAAATAATACATGTGTGAATACATAGACAAACAGAGTGTCACTAGTATGCCTCTACTTGACTAGCTCGTTAATCAAAGATGGTTATGTTTCCTAACCATGAACGAGGAGTTGTTATTTGATTAATGGGATCACATCATTAGGTGAATGATCTGATTGACATGACCCATTCCATTAGCTTAGCACCCGATCGTTTAGTGTGTTGCTATTGCTTTCTTCATGACTTATACATGTTCCTATGACTATGAGATTATGCAACTCCCGTTTGCCGGAGGAACACTTTGTGTGCTACCAAACGTCACAGCGTAAATGGGTGATTATAAAGGTGCTCTACAGGTGTCTCCAAAGGTACATGTTGGGTTGGCGTATTTCGAGATTAGGATTTGTCACTCCGATTGTCGGAGAGGTATCTCTGGGCCCTCTCGATAATGCACATCACACAAGCCTTGCAAGCATTGCAACTAATAAGTTAGTTGCGAGATGATGTATTATGGAACGAGTAAAGAGACTTGCCGGTAACGAGATTGAACTAGGTATTGAGATACCGATGATCGAATCTCGGGCAAGTAACATACCGATGACAAAGGGAACAACGTATGTTGTTATGCGGTCTGACCGATAAAGATCTTCGTAGAATATGTAGGAGCCAATATGAGCATCCAGGTTCCGCTATTGGTTATTGACCGGAGACGTGTCTCGGTCATGTCTACATTGTTCTCGAACCCGTAGGGTCCGCACGCTTAAGGTTTCGATGACAGTTATATTATGAGTTTATGAATTTTGATGTACCGAAGTTAGTTCGGAGTCCCGGATGTGATCACGGACATGACGAGGAGTCTCGAAATGGTCGAGACATAAAGATTGATATATTGGACGGCTATATTCGGACACCGGAAGTGTTTCGGGTGATTTCGGAGAAAACCGGAGAGCCGGAGGGTTACCGGAACCCCCCCGGGAGAAGTAATGGGCCATATGGGCCTTAGTGGAGAGAGAGAGGGGCAGCCAAAGGTGGGCCGCGCGCCTCCTCCCCCCTGGTCCGAATTGGACTAGGAGAGGGGGGGGGGGGCGGCGCCCCCCTTTCCCTCTCCCTCCCCACTTCTTTCCCCCTCCTAGTAGGAGTCCTACTCCTACTAGGAGGAGGACTCCTCCTTGGCGCGCCATAGAGGGCCGGCCGGCCTCCTCCCCTTGATCCTTTATATACGGGGGCAGGGGGCACCCCTTGACACACAAGTTGATCCACGTGATCATATTCTTAGCCGCGTGCGGTGCCCCCTTCCACCATAGTCCTCGATAATAATGTAGCGGTGCTTAGGCGAAGCCCTGCGACGGTAGTACATCAAGATCGTCACCACGCCGTCGTGCTGACGGAACTCTTCCCCGACACTTTGCTGGATCGGAGCCCGGGGATCGTCATCGAGCTGAACGTGTGCTAGAACTCGGAGGTGTCGTAGTTTCGGTGCTTGATCGGTCGGGCCGTGGAGACGTACGACTACATCAACCAAGTCAACGCTTCCGTTGTCGATCTACAAGGGTACGTAGATCACACTCTCCCCCTCTCGTTGCTATGCATCACCATGATCTTGTGTGTGCGTAGGAATTTTTTTGAAATTACTACGTTCCCCAACACCTGGTCCCGCGCCTGATCTGCGCTGCTGCTTGGGACCTGGCCGAGGTGCTCTCATTGCTGCGTGACTGCTCGGGCACGCCCGCTCCGGACGGGCGCCGGTCCGTCTTCTGTGGCGCTCCTCATGGTGCTTTCTCATCGAGATCGACGTACACCATGTTGCGCTTCGGCGGCGTCTCGTCGCCGGCCGCCGGCTTCCTCTAGAGCTCGGCTGTCCCATCCCGTGTGAAGTTCTTCGCCTGGCTGCTCTCCCTGACCAGGATTCACACCCGGGACGTCCTTCTCCAAAAAACTATCGTCGACGCCCAGGGGGCTGGCTGCCCGTGCTGTCCGGCCTCCTTGGAGACGGCCAACCATCTCTTTTTTGAGTGTGAGGTGGCCGCTCGTTTCTGGCGCTGCATCGGCGTCGACCCGCGTGCCGGGACGGCCCGCGGCCTCCATCTCTTCGACGTCCGGCCGGCCATGGGGGAGGCCTCACCGACGGCTTTCCTCCTCCTCCGCGTCTGGCACCTCTGGAAACGGAGGAATGCGGTGGTATTCCGGGGGGAAAACCCCTCTCTGTGTGCTACTCTCAAATGCTGTAGGGACGACGCGGTGCTCTGGCGGGGGAGATTTCGCGAGGAGGATCGTGTCCACATCGATGCTTGGCTTCTGGCGCTCGCTGCTCCGCGAGGCTAATCCCATACCCCCCCCTCTCTCCCTTCTTGTATATGTACGTGTTGTAATGTGCCGTCCTCGCGTGTCGCTCTGACCGCCCCGCCTTGTATCTACTGGTTCGTGGAAATATAAGATTCAGGTGGGGGAGGCTTTCTCCCCCCCCCCCCTAAAAATTCAAAAAAAATATGTGGTAGACGTGAAGAAGTGGCAGTTTTCTCGGGGGTGGGCGCCCGAGATGTGCGGGAGAAGCAGGTTTCTCGGGCGAGCCTACGGGGTCGTTTGGGAGGAGGCGAGGTCAAAGGATGAGGGATCATGTGAGCGGTGTGGCAGTTTTGCTTATATGGCACACGTGTGTCAAATATCACAGTCCTTTAGATTATACAATTACATCGTAATTACAAATTAATTGTGCAAACTGTTTTTGGAGACCGTACGAGTATTCAAAGCAAAATTCTAGGGCTTCTTTGATTCACCTAATTCCAAAGAAGCTGAAATAGGAAGAAAAAAATGCAGGATGACATTATCATGACCACTAGAATTCTACAAAAGTAAATTCCTATCAAATTAGATGATTTTGTCAAGAGAATTCAGTTGATGGAAAGATTTTCCAAATGTAGTGCAAATGATGGATCCTAGTACATATCAAACAACCCCACGAAGAAAAAATCCTATGGATTACAACCCTCTAAAATCCGAATAGAAAATCCTTTGGATCAGAGAGGTGATTACAACCCTCTAAAATCCGAATAGAAAATCCTTTGAATCGGAGAGGTCCTTAGAACACTAGAGGCGATATACATACATGATATTTCAAATGGATCATTTTTCTAATGATATAATACCAAGAGTTGTGATATCTGAGGAACCAAAAGTACTCAACACTATCCCCCGCAAAACAAAAGGTACTCAACAGTATGCCACTATCATGCATGCTTCCATCCTATCTAATTAAGCAACATGATATTTGCAATTGAGGAACATGCCTGACCATGCATCCATGCCTATCATACACTAGAGGAACAAAAAAATTATGTTTATTTTCCTAATATCATGCTTCCATTTTTGTGTGCACTATTTGCAATTGAGGACCTGCCAAGTTGTCTGCAACATGAGCAATTGTTGCACCTGATATTCACTGCAAGGATAGACAACAATCAGGAAAGGGATTTCATTGCAAGTCTTCAACCGATCAACCTAGTGGTACATTCATCGCTGAGTTAACTGCAGCTGTGCACAGAATTCCTTCTCACACAGAGTACTAGCAAATACCAACAGATACTACATGCTCTGCTCCCAAAGAAGAAGAAAGGCTAACACATGGTAGGTACCTAACTTGTTAAAGGTCCCGAAAATGATAATTTTACATGGTTAACTAAATGTCACTTGGTGTTCCCCTAACCTTCTTTGCCATGCTTGAGCTTTACAACCATCAAATGTTTTCTGCAACCATATCGCCGCCCTTTCGTGGTGGTGCTTTTCTAGCTTGAAACTGAAGCGCTCAGGCGCTCCAAGGTTTCTGTGACATTTCTCATCGTCGGTCTTCGCTCGGGATTAGCATGAATGCAAGCGAGAGCGACTTTGAGTACAGCGATCATCTCACCTTCCTGTTCAGAGTCCCCGGCGAGAAAAGGATCGAGCACATCAGCGGATGGTTTCTTCTCTTCTATACAGAACTGGACCCACTGGACAAGATCCATCTGCATAGTTTCCAAGAGAGCGATGGGCGATCTACCAGTAATCATTTCGAGCAAGATCACACCATAGGAGTAGACATCCCATTTCTGCGACGGTTTCAATGTTTTCAGTGCTTCTGGTGCTTGGTAGCATGAACCTTCTTTGCTCACAAGAGGGCTCATTGAGGAATCTGGCTGCAGACTCTGAGCCTTTTCGACGCCAATCCGATCCGATTGCGAAGAAGGTGCTGCTCCACCAGCAATGTTTGCTAGTCGCCCGAGGCCGAAATCTGAAATATACGGTTCCATGTCCTTTCCAAGAAGGACATTGTTCGGCCTCAAGTCCCCATGTACATACTTCTTGGGACTGAATTCATGCAAAAAAGACATCCCATTTGCGACTCCTTTCATGATCTTTAGACGTGCATTCCATGTCAATGGTGTGAATGTCATTGTCCCAGGTTTACCTGAAAGTAATAAATCAGCCAATGCAACACTAGCCTTAAATAAACACAGAGGTCGTACTACGCAGTGAGGATGTACTCTAGTAACCTTTGCTAGCAAAGAATTACTCACTCTGTACATAAATATAAGAGGCAGTACACCAGAAAGAAGTAAATTACCTCTAAAAAATTACTTTTAGAAAGAAATGAATAAAGTCAAACTTTAACAGAGTACCAATGAGACAATATTGTATCAAAGCAATTTATATGGACTGAAAGAGCATTCTAGAGATATCACTTGAACTCCAGGTACTAGTTTCGTCGTTAACAACAAAAATCGTATCACAAAGGCAAAACTAATCAATGTCGAAGTGCATTACATCAGTATGAGGATCCTGATCTACATATTAATATCACTGGTCAACTGTTCTACGAAATGACAAAAAAATAATGGAAACATGATGTAAACTAGGCATTAGAGAGCTCGACTCAGTTGATAACACATACCATGAATTGCTGAAGAGAGGCTGCCATTTGAAATGTAATCATATATCAGCAACTTCTCATCAAACGACCAGTAGTAGGCCCTCAAGGTAACAATGTTGGGATGCTGAACCTTGCCAATGGCCTCAACCTCAGTCCGAAACTCCTTAAACCTTTGCAATCCCCCCTCGCCGAGCCGCCTCACCGCCATGGTGAGCCCATCCTCAAGAACTACCTTGTACACAATCCCTATCCCACTCTTCCCGAGCACAAATGCTGATGCCTTGAGCAGCTCATCGAGATCAAACCTCACTTTCTGGTCCAACAACACGAGGTCGTGCTGCTCTATTGGAGTCTCAGGCTCGTCCCTGCTAAAACAACCAGACCTCGACTCTTTGGAGCCGGTGCCCGCACCATGTCCCTTCTCCTTGGCGGAAACTTTCTTCCAGTAGCAGTAGAAGAACACCAGGGCAATGATCAAGATCCCTACCACATCACCCAGAACAATGGCCACAATGGCAGCCTTCCCCAACCCCTTGCTCCTCCCACTCCCGTTGCCCCCGGCACCGAACTCCCCATCCTTCGGAACAGACGGGTTGGACGATGGCGGCGAGCAGGGGCTCTCGAGCGGCGGCCCACACAACCCTGGGTTGCCCAAGAACGCCGAGGGGCCACGGTTGTCAAGCGCCCCATTCTGCGGAATCGGCCCTGACAGGTTGTTATAGGAGAGATCAATGTAGACCTTCTCCGGCAATTTCCCCAGGCTCGCCGGAATCGGCCCGGAGAAGCCATTGTGCGACAGGTCCACCGTCCCCTCGAGCCTGGACAGGTTCCCGATGTCGTCCGGGACGGCGCCGGAGAAGCGGTTGTAGGACAGATTGAGCTGCTCCAGCGCCGAGAGCTCCCGGCCGAACCCCGGCGGGATCGGGCCCGTGAGGTTGTTCCGGCCGAGGGACAGCCTGCGGAGGCGCCTGCATTTCAGGATCGACCCGGGGAGAGAGCCGTTGAGGGAGTTGGAGGAGAGGTCCAAGATTTGGAGGTAGGGGAGGTCCCCGAGCTCCGCGGGGACGGGCCCGTCGAGCTCGTTCCCGTAGAGGACGAGGCTCTGCAGCCCCGCGGCGCCGGCGAGGAGCGCGGGCGGCAGGGCGCCGTAGAGGCGGTTGCCGCGGAGGTTGAGGTGGCGGAGGGAGGCCGGGAGCGCGGACGCCGGTAGGGCGGCGACGAGGCCCTTCCTGGGAAGGGAGAGCGCGACGACCCGGCGGATGGCGGCGTCGTCGCAGGCGACGCCGTTCCAGGAGCAGGGGTCGGCATCGGAGGCGTTCCAGTCGGCGAGGGCCCCCGTGGGGTCCCGCAGGACGGCGGCCCGGAAGGAGAGCAGCGCCTGGCCGTCGGCGGTGAGCGCGTCGGTGGCGGCGGGGAGCGCGAGGGCTAGGAGGAGGAGGAGCGGGAGGACGGCGGCCATGGGAGGAGGCGGAACGCGGCGCTGCGCTTTCCAGTGGGGACTGGCCGACCGGGGCACTGAGTGAGGCTCGGAGTCGTTGCGTTTATGAAGACCGGCGGCACTCATTAGAACTGGCAGTGGCATTATTTTCTTGTACGTTGTAGTTTCGTGTTTAACTGGTTTCTCACCGGAATCCTCCTAACTTCGCTTGGGTTATTCTATTGTCACTTTTTTACTGGTGAGGAGCGGTGGTGACCGACGATGATTGCCGACAGTTGGTGAGTACGGGCAATAGTGCATTGTGTTCGAGAAAGTAACGCGGCTGCACGTGCCTGCTCAACCTAGCTAAGGCATCTTCAACGCAAATGTAATCATCCAATGTCCACGGTAGTGTACGGGCGCGTTGGAGGTCATTCAATCGGAGGATATGTCGTCCCTCCTATCCTGTTTGTCCAATTTTATCTTGATCAATAGCGACTTGGTTATGCAAAACAAAAGCGTTGGATGTTCAACAAGTTTTTAACATCCTTCGAACCTGAAAATTTTGACCTCTTTCCCCCCTTCTTTTGTGCATAGCTTGCGATGATTCTAATGTTTTGATTTCAAAAGTATCGTGCGAGCCATCATGTTGTAATTTACTAACAATGCATGAACAACGCTTTCAATCATGATGCAAACAACAGCCTAAAAGCTGCAGCACAACACTCCAGACAATCCATACTAAACATTGCAGCTCCGACTCCGACGATGAACTACTAAGAAAAAACTAGGCATGGGTGGCGTCACGAAGGATCAGCGAACGAACCACCTGTCCCGCGTCATCATATACCGCTGGCCCCCCACGGCGGCTTCGACTTCACAACAACAGACAGTCGAGGCACTCCCACGGACACGCCGGAGAAGAAGAGCCGACTACCACGACCAAGGCCACGCCTCCGACATTGCTCATCGCCGTCATCGTTGCCACAGAAGCTAGGACGCCTCAACCGCCGCCAACCACCGGTTCCGCTTGCCGATGCCGAGCTCCGAGACGAAGCCCCCAAGAGGGAAAACGCCGCCAAGACGCCGCCATTGTCCGATCAAACGATCAAGGGTTTCCCCTGGAGAGGCCGAGATGGTCGGATCCGTGCAGAAGGGGTGCGGTAGCAAATCAGCGAAGCCTCCTAGAAGGTCACGACGGCCACAGCCGCCGCCATCGCTGGTCACGGCACAAGGCCAAGATAGGGTCTTCACCCAAGCTTTCACATGATGTAGGGTAGAACCCTAGTGGCCCGATCTTTCACGAAAGGAGCGGATACCGCGAAGAACACGAGGAACACGAGGGGGAAAACGAGGGAAATCATGAGGGAAAACACGAGAGAATCACTCAACCAACACGAAATAGTCGCACATGTGCTAGATCCTCGAAACACAGAGAGATACACGATCCAAATCCAACAAAGGACGATACATAGGGTAACCGGTTCTTCTCCGTGAGGAGGTCTTGAATCCACAAGGGGATCTTCCCGTAAAGGGGTCTTGAATCCAAGGTGGATCTTCTCCGAAGAGGGGCCGCGGTCTCTCTCAAGGAGTAGATCCGATATGGATGAGCGAGGCTCTATCTCTCAAATGAGCTATCACAACGCTGCACTAACTAGGAGGAGGTGGGGGAGTATATATAGTGCTAGCCCACGAAGGGGTAAGTGATAGGGGGGATACATGGGCCCTTGGCCCGAGTCTTTGCACGCAGGCAGGCCAGAAGTTCCGGGTGGGGCCGGAAGTTCCGGGCTCCGAAAGTTCCGGGCAGGTTTCGGCCGGGTTCCGGGCTATCCAGAGAGTTGGCGTGCTCGGGGCTGGTCTGGATTCCGGGGCCGGAGGTTCCGGGAAGGTCGGAAGGTCCGGGGGCCGGAAGTTCCGGGCGGAGGCCGGAAGTTCCGGGCTTTCCAGAAGCTTGTCCTTGCTTCTTCTTGCTTCTCCTCTTCCATGCTTGGCCTTGGTCCTTGGATCCTCCATGGTCGTCTCGGTTGTACCTGAGTATATGCAAGGTCCATGCATGAGGTAGTAGCCATGTCTCATATGTGGAAAGTGACGGTTCGAAGAGGAGTGAGTTCACCTTGTGTCCAATGGTGTATGGTCGAGGTCTCATCGTATGTCCTCTTGGGGCTCGGGGAGTAGTCGAAGTGTACATGGGGATGATCATTGGATGCTCCGCATCATCTCCCCTCCCTTGGGAAAGATCCGACATCGGATCGAAAACCTCATCACCATGGAAACGGTTGTCGTGGACGGACTTGTAGTTGGATGGAGTGGAAGATGTTGCGCAATCCAAGTACTCCAAGGTGTCACCGGAGTGGTATACATGCAAAAATAGCAAACACAAACGACACTCGGAAATACAATGGTTAGAGCACACAAAGTGTCCGTCATGTAAGAATGAGTCTGTGCAACAAGATTGAGCATGACAAGTTGCATGAAGCTTATCCAAAAGAGATGGAATGGTATGCAAAGCATTCATGGGAGCGAAAACATTCATTATGCACACAATTGTGTTGTGAAAATGATAAATGCAACCACGGTGCAAAATGATGTCATAGAGAGACGGTGTATCAAAAGCATGAACATGGTAATTGGTGCTCAATGTGACTATGTGATCATGCAATTGATGGTGGGCAATATGATCATGATGTATGAATATGCCATCAAGAAAGATCACAACAAATTTTCTAAGGAAATTCACAAGCTCATATATCATGGATGACATGGAAAGAGATGCAACAAGGCAATCATAATGTGAGTCAATCCATGCATAA